CAATAACTTTCTTTCTTACTTTGTTCACCTGCACAGCTGTTTACAAAACTGACGGTTAATAGAAACACAAAACAGTGACCAGCTGGGGAGATGGGTGCTGGAATAATTGTGCTGTGAGGAGCCATAAAGGAGGGATCTTTGGATGCTGTTCCTTCTTGAGTTTCGTATTTTAATGTGGGGTTTTTTAATTAACGGAGGTAACTGTATTTTTAATTTTGTGTTCTTTGAGTTCTGGTTTTTATCTTCTAATAACTTAGCTTTTATTCTGCAAATTACAGTGTACTTTTCCTCACTTTCTGTTTTGTGGTTCTTTTCTGTTAAATTTTATAGTTGGGGCAGGTGGGTATTTTTGGAGATTTTTTTTTTTTAAGTCTAAATTTGTGCTTATTGAATTCTATTCTAGGTTTCCAATGCTAAGCATTTGAATTTGCTTGGGGGAAAAAAAAAACAAAACCAAAAACCAAAAAACCCCACACAAACAAAAACCTCCAAGAAACAACTACTTTTGTTTTAATGTGATCTGTTATGCTGCCTTTCTTAAGATAAAAATGAGTGCTACACCTACCTACAGTCTTATTTTAAGTAAATGGTCATAGTAATGATCTTCAGAAAATGTGGCTTTCTAGGCACACAACTACAGGTTGTCCTGTCAGTGAGAAAGGGATGTACCCAAAAAGGTATAAGAACTGAAACTGGAGTGCAAACTGTCTGATTTACAGTGGGATTATTTTTTATTATTATTATTAAAATTTTAAAACCAATTCAACATCGTCAGTTAAAGACTGAACTGACATTAGGAGAAGGAATATACAGGTCCCTTAATGCTGAATGTGTCAATATTGCTTGCAGAGCTTCCCTTGCAGACCTATTTGAATGTATCATGTTCAAAATTTTGCCTTCCTTCTAACTAAAAAAACTGGTTTGTGAGTACAGGTGGGGATTTTTCAAGAGGCAAAACAGATAATTCAGACAGTCCTGTAAACACTAGAAGTGTGAGGAGGTATAATTCTAATCCTCTAGATAAGCAGAAATAGGTATGCTCGTAATATTGAAAATTTCCTTTGAATCCTTTAAAACTGGTTTTTGTTTTGTCAGCTCCCCCTACCATTGCTGCAGTCAGCCCTGTGTCCAAAAACGTTATCAGGACCCATCCCAGCTGCAACTGCTCACCAGACACCCTGAATCAATTGTACCCCATCTGTCCACTCCAGAGACCCTGTAAGATACTCTTACAGCAGAGGGATGTCACTTGCTATGGGCTGTCACTCGTCACATGGCACAGGCAGCTGTGCAGCTAAAATGCAACCAGTGTGCACACTGAAGGTGCAAAGTACTGGATTCCCTGTGTGCAAGGAGGTGAACGTGCTGTTCATGCATACAGGAGATCCCTCCCTCTTTTGAGGAGCAGGAAAAGGTCATGACAACTGAGGAACCACTCATGATGACTGCTCTGAGCCATGATACATATATCTACATAATAGGTACTTGTAAATGTCTTCACAGATTTATAATACTGATAAATACAATTTCTCAAAAATTAGTCTGATTAGGTATTATTCTTCTTTATGTTATTTATATTTTTCTCCTCTAAAAGTTCTTTTTAACTTTAGGAAGCTTTTGTAGGATAGTGTGTATGCAAAAGAGCCAAAAGCTTCCAGCTGATGTTTGAAGGTGGGAATGTGTCACAGGCCAGGTCCACCCAGCTTCCTTCCTTCACTCATCATGCATTCCTCATACGCTGAGCTGTGACCAGATCAAAGAGAGGGCAGTTCTGTTTCATTTTGTTTCATCTCAAGGCAGCTCTGCCAGTCCCTGAGTGCAGCTGAGTATTTTGTGACACAGCAAATCCTTCTTTCAGGGTATGTGGTCTTTGCAGTGGTAGAACTTTCCACCTTCCTTTACACATGTAGTCACCCCTTTGTCAATAGATTTCATAATCCTGAATTACTGGAGGTTCAAACTGGTAAGATATGAAAAATAGCAACACAGGGCTAAAAAGTGTTTCATTTTTAGATTCTGTCTTTTTTTTTTGTTATTCCCCCCGACATGTAGGATTTCTAATGTACTGTAAGAAACCTAAAAATTTTTAGAAGCACCTAGAGCCAAGACTTCCAAACTTCTCATCTGCAGAACTTTGAAAATCTATTGTCTTCAGTGAGTTCCTGATCAAAAGGGTCCCATCCAGTCTATACCTGTCACAATTAAGCTGGATCTCAAAAGATCTATCTATTGCTGAAATGTATTTCAAAGATTAGCAGTGACACAGACTGCACCTTTACCTGCAAGCCTGATTTTACATAAAAAGCTCTCAACCAGATTGAATGAAGAGTTGGTGCTTGTAGTTAAGAAGCAACTCTTAAGTTTGACCTCTCAAATATCTTTAATTACCTGCAATGCAAGGTAAAACTAGCATTACTCATTATATTCATTTACAGTACTTGCTGATTGAGGTCCTTGAATGTTTCTCATATCACTCATCCCAAGAGAACACTAGAGGATAAACATTAGTTGGTAACGAGGTCCTGACTCAGAGATGTTGTGAAGAAAGAGGGTTGTAGTTACGTATCTGAAGTCAGGGCCGTCTGCATTGGGCCATGGTAGCCTCCATTTCCTAGATACTCTCAGGGCTGCTGCTCTGATAAATCCCTCCCACAACAAACCTCTTTACTTGGAGTATAATCTCAAGTATTTGAGAGGCATACAAAGAGTATTTTAGCACTGGTCAGATATGTAGAACCAGGCAGAATGTTAAGTGTAGAAATGCCCTTTTGTGTGCTTCACTTTCCTCATTGCTCTGGAGCAGCCTTCAGGCTTGGGATTCATACCCTTAAGATTTGGAGAATCCTCTTGCCATTGACTTTGCTATCTGCCTCTCATCTTTTCTGCTGTCTCCTTAAGATCTCAAGTCAGACAGACAGCTCTTTGTAAAACTTTTCCATTGTTGCCTGTTATATCACCTGGCACCTCAAGAAATCTCAGCCTCTAGCTGACTGGATAGACTGGTTTGTGCAGTTTGTTCAACTTTATGGGTCAAAGGGGACTTGAACTGGAGATCAGCCATGGTTGATGACTTCCTACACTTACCATACACAGTGCACTGGTTACCTGCTTACTCTTGCATGCTTGATACAAGTTAAATTGTCCTGAGGCAACAAACAAGTTTTTTAACAACTCCTTTAAGTGCTGTGTCATTTTAAAGATTGAGAAAATTCACACAAACATGTATTAGGTACTCTCTAATTTAACAAAGTTGTAATTAGAAAATGAAATGCCTCCAAAAAAAAAAAAAAAAAAAAAAAAAAAAAAAAAAAAAAAAAAAAAAAAAAAAAAAAAAAAAAAAAGAAAAAAGAGCTACAGATTTTTAGGCAATTCAGTTATGCAAAAATGGGAATGTTTTGATTTCAGTCCATCTGCATGGAAAAAACACCATACCAGGAGCAGCGCCTGTGATTATCTCTAATTTAAATGCACTTTTTAAAATAGAAATTTGTATTAAAATGATCTTTTAATCTATAGCCTTATTCAAGACTCATAGAACACCCATAATACTCTAATCAATTCACCTGAATATGATAAAATGAAAAGCAAACTGTTCTGGGTTACTTATAGGTATCAGTTTTATTTGGGTGGGTGGGTGGGTGGGTGTGTTGGAGGGTTTTTTTAGCGACCAAATGACAGTATAGAATAAAACCAGTAAGGTTAAAAAAACCCAAATTTTTCAAAATAAAGCTGTATTTTAGTTAATGTAGGTAATGTTCATGTCAGCACTGAGCAATAAGCAATATTCAGATATAATTCTACAATTACATTTTGTTGTTGTTGATGTTTGAGTCCTATCTCTAACAAAGAACAAAGACAGGAAGAAATGTAACTGATGCTTACACGTACGCCTAATTGAAATGTGGCAAGCCTTTCTGAAAGAAACATAAACCCTTGCAGACAACCATTCTTCCCAAACTAGAACTAAACCATTTAAATCTCCTCTCAGTCTTTTCATTCCTCATCACTTTTAATTTATAGACACTGCCAGGTGCCAGCTGGGGCACAATACAGAAACAGTAAACTGCAGAAAATGGCTGTGTGTGATGTTTCAAGCATAACCAGAAGCTGAATCTGTTAGGAAAGAACTGAACAACAAATACCGCAGAAAAGCAGAAGTTCATCTGAGCTTTTCACCCCAGATTAAATATATCTGGTTAGTTCAGATAAGAATCCAGATAATAATCTTGTAGGTCTAGTGCATTCTTGATGGAAATCTTGGAACATTTTGCTGTGCACCTGTTTTTCACCCCATAAGTAATTTATTTCTTTATATCAGCAGGTAATACTGTATCATTTTGCTGTAAATTAATAGTTTGAGTTTTCAGCAAAAGTTAAAGATAGACTTGTGAATTATTTGTCCATTATTCTCTTCTTTTTTTTTTTTTTTTCTCTGCGTTGAGGATCTAAAAAGAATAGGTTGAATTGCTTTTTAAGTAAATTTGGGCAAAGATTTAGGCTCTAGGAATACCCTTTAATTTATCAGCCCCATGGTGTAGCTTGTCAGAGCATTATATACCATGTTATGGAATTACAGGGATTATCCTTCAAATTCAGCTAATATAGTGAAAAGGTATGTTTTTTCTGTTCTGTTAATAAACATTATTAAGAGTAAAATCAAGCAGAGGGCATTCCCATTATAGCTGTGAGGTGTTGTAAAGTCAGATCTGGACAAAATGTTAACATTCAAATGTTCTAAACTATTAATTTAGGCAATGATGTTTCTTCCTGATGGCACTCACTCTTAAATGGATTGTTTAAACTGCATATAATTATATGAAGAAGGATAACACAAACAATGCTAAAGGGCTCTGTTAAAAAGGGAGGAAAAACTTATGCACAAATGATTTAGCAACTAAACTACTTATTGAAGATATATTAAGCATATTTTTATTAATTTATATAAATGGATGTTCAATCATTTGGTAATTTTAATGCTGGCTTTGTTTAATATCTTACAGGAAGCTTCAAAAGATGGTGCATGATATCAAGAAAAATGAAAGTGGAATAATAAACAAGTTCAAAAAGTAAGTTTGAAATGTCAATCCCTAGTTTTATCAGTTTGGGGAAGTTCATGTTGTAACATAGTGTATAGTACTTTAGTGGTGAGACCATGTTATTTTAGAGGGATGTACTTCAGCATATGTGAAAAGCTTCAGTTCAGACTGTGACATGCAGAATTGTCATGAGTATTAAGACTGTCATAAGTTGAAGAACTGGGCTCCAATGACAGGTTGTGTTTGTAGCCCTGAAAAAAAGTATTTGAGTGAAAAGGACTTTCCTTGAATGTTCTTTGGGAGTGGTCATCACTTGTTGTTTGCATGTGTGCCTTTCTCCTCAAGCAACTGTTTAGGCTACCTGCTGCAATTAAGTTTAACTTGAGCTCTACCTTGAACCAACTGGTCAGGCATCATAGTTAAAATTCCCATAAAAATGTTAAATCCTCCTGTGTTTCATTCCCATAAAACAAAATGCAGCATTACCTAACATCCTAATTCCAGTAAGAAGTGCTGTACAGCATGCATATTGATGCCACGTGCATGAGTGTCATAAAATATTCATGTGTGTTTATACATCGAAATTCAGTAATTCAGCATCCTTGTCAAATGAATACACTATTCACTGTTTCCAGTCAAACATCTATTTAAACCAATTAGCTATTTAGCACACTTTTTCCTAATGCAATAGCTCATTTGCATAGTACTTACATTTGGATGTGATTTTCTCATTCAGTTGTCTTTCTTTACATGGGTCATTGGCAACAAAAGTACTAAGTACGTTTAGAAGTTAATTAGTACACAGTACTTGAAGTGTTTCCAGGATGACCGTATTAAATTCTAGAAATACAGCTCTTGTACAGAAGAGGCACTTAGAAACATTGTTTAAAATTGTTCTTAGAGAGCGACCACAATGGCTCAGTTAAAAAAAATAACTAAGACTTTTTTTTGTATCTAAAGCAATCAGTAGGCCGTTGAGAGAAGCAATAGGGTTCTGCCTGCTTTGGCTGTGCAAGAGCTCTGGAAAGCCAGACTGGCTCAGCTATTGTCCCTGCTGCCAGCCCAGGCAGGGCTGTGTTTGTGGGGCAGCTGCTGTCCCTGGCAGAGGAGTGGGATGGCTGTGCTTCCAGAAGCAACAGTGATCTTCTGGCACTCCTGTTCCCCAGGCAGAAGGAGTAACCTTAGGCTGCGAGCCCTGCTTTGTGGTCTCATTTTTGCAGCTGTATTTCTGTCCACAGACCTTGAGCAGGCTCTGATGGTAAAACACCTGATAGATTCTGAGATAATTTTTTCCTTTACTCATCCTTCTTCACTCTAACACTGCTGCAATTTGCAGTAAATGACAGTCACTTGGTATATGCACTTGTTATTTCCACATAAAGTGCAAAAGGAGAGTTTCCATTAACATGACCCTATTTCAACTACTTGAGTCTTTAGTTTAATTTCTGTGGGTTTATTTTTAGCACAGTGTGTATCTATAAATAGACCACTGTGTTCAGAGACCTATCTGTAAAAAAACTCATAGTTTCACCTAGGACCTGCTCACAGGGAAGAGCTGGTAGGTGTCAAAAGGGTTTTGGTGGGTTTTTGAAGGAGGCAAGGGTTTGTTGTAGTTGCTGCTTTTTAATAAAGGGTGGCTTCCTACTTCACAGTAGTAGTTTAATTGTAATTAATAATGTTGCAGTGGGTCCAGTTCAAAAGTCTCAGGGAGGAAAGCAGATGGCAGAAACAATAGAAGCATCTCAAGTTTATAATTTGAGGCTGCAAGTTGTCTCCCATAGTTTCCTGAATGTGAATTAATCAGTATTGCTCTGACTGTGTGTCCTTCCTAGAGAGTAAGAGGGGAAGGAAAGACAAGGGAGAAATAACAAGAACCAAATGTAGTGGAAGCTGGGAAGGTTAGAGGTATCATCATTAATGTCAGATACAAGATTGCTGATATAAAACTGCAATTCTTTCATTCACTCAAGATGTAAAAAAAACCCTATAAAAAAGAGCAGGCTCATAAAAACTCTTTTAATGTATGACTGCAGCACAAAGCTTCACATCAACTCTTACTGCTATAGGAATACAAACTGAGATATAAAAAGCATACATATAATAATCCTTCTGATGATGCTGTGCTTCATTTGAGTCATATTATTCTTTTCTGCAGTTATGAAGATCAGAAATTTAGTTTTTAAAAAATTGAAGAAAGAATTTCTTATATTTGCATATGACTTCAGAACTCAAGTCTTCAACCTAGCACATAACAAGTTGCAATAAAAGCATGAGTTGACAACACTCATAAGGATATATACAAGAGGTGCCAAGCTTTACAGAATTAGAACTGGCTGTATTGCTTTCAGTGTGCCCTTAGGGGACTTTTTGTTGATTTTTTTAAAGACATTTTCTAAAAAAATGTGGTTATCCAGTTGACCATTACTTCCATTTCAGTTACAGAATTATTTTATTAAATGTTAAGGATTTAAACATGACTGAAGCCAGAATTGTTTTTTTTTTTTTTAATTTGCTTTATGTAGCACAGATTTTGAATTTGTCTATATGCTGGAATAAAACCCATCAAATTCAAACCTATTATAAGTAGAAATAATTTTAGGGAATTCAAATAGTGTACTTGCTTATCTGAAGCCTAAAGTTTTCACGCTGATGTATACTGTAAGCCTCTGCTACTCAAATTGAAAGAACAATCAAATATTCATGAAATACATTTGACTTATTACCAGTATGTGTTAAAACACTTATAAAATCTGAATTGGCTCTTGATTATGCAGAAGTGTAAGAAAAGTTCTTGTATCAAGACTTGCTCTCCAGTTTAGTTCATGTGGGGTGCAGTTGTGGAGGGA